ATTCCAGGTGGTTTTGACTTAACTCCTGTCTGCTGAGTTATCGGGTTGGGACAATATTAGCACTTAATGTTCTTATTAGCACAAATGCATTCACTAGCACCATGACAGATGCAATTTCTTTTCTGACATGTCACGCCCCGCCCCAACTTCAACACCAGCCTACTTTATCCTGAGCTCTCAATCAGATCAGCTGCACCTGCCCTGCATTGTTCTGTCTACCTCTGTAGTTTTGAACTGCCATCCCTAATCCCTAACTCCTAGGATCTACGAAATCCAGCCATTTCCAGCAAATTACCTGATGCCTCCTTATTTGCTCAGAGATGCCAGAAACTATCATGATCTGCTCTGATCCATTCCAAGATCCCCAGAAACATCTCTAGTTGAGACACTTGTGCATTAAACGGGTATTTTCTGCAGGACAGAATGTATATAACAGTATACAAATTAATATGCCAGTGATGTCAGAGCTCTGGAACAAATCCTGCAGCTCCATTCTTCTCCACCCTTCCTAATCCCTCTGCAGGGCCATATATCTCTCACTGCCAGCTCTGAGACAATGAATCATAAAGAAAAGTAAAATTTGTTAATGCCTGACAGGTTTTGGCTCAGTTCATCATATCACTAAAAGGATTTTGTCTCTGATTAATATCAGCCTGTCAGTAGAGGTCTCTGGGCAGAATGACGGAATCTGCCACCCTGTATGTTTCCAATTAATACAACTTCTCAGAAGGTGCCTGGAGATCCATCAATAATCTTAATTAAATATGACCAAAGGGATGACAACTAATGATTAAGGGAGTGGCTCTCTTGGGACAATGGCTGAAGAGTGTGTATGGTAGGTCAGGAAGAGAGGCAGATGGCCGCTTGTCTAACACAGCAAAGCCTGTTTAAACACAGATGTCCCTGATGGCTGAGTTTCAATTCAATTTATCCTGTTCCCAGTCCTTTAGGAGTTACTTTTCTTCCACACCAGTTAAAACTACCCTCTGCCAAGGTGCAAGAGGGGATTTCTGCTGTGATTCTCCAGCTGCTGCATTCTGCAGATCATTTCCAGAGAAAGCAGCTCGTTCTCCTTTCCCTTTAAACATATATATCCACTGTTGCTTTGTTCTCATTCTACTTACCATCACAGGGGACCCAGAGATCTTTCAGTTCAAAAATTACTACAGTGACAGAAATAAAAAAAGGCAATTCTTTCTGAGTTTTAGAAATCATCAATATTAGGAATCAAATCACTATACTTCAGTGAGGTTATATGGTTCCTACACATTGAAGTCCTTGCTAAAGGACAGAAAACATAGACTACTACTTCATTATAAAAAATACCCAGCTTCTTACTGAAAAAACAGGCAGCACTAGGTATCACAGTTTTGGCAGGAGAATGAGAGCTGTAGCTTGTCCAATGCAATGCACTGGACTGCTAGATTTTTAACCTTCTGTCAGACATTTATTTCTCCTCTCTCACCTCTCAGAGGCCATAAACTTATCCAAGCTTGTCAAGTCAATTCTGAGACACAGCATCAATAGAATGTACTAGTGTTTCATGTGAGCAGTAATAAGGAGATATCTATTTTTAGAACATTAATGCTAATGAATAAAGCTATCCTGACAGCTTTGAAAGCCTCCCTGTAGTCACACAGTAAACAGGTAAAATGCATGATAAGCAGTGAAGCCGCTCACCCTAGTTTGCAGGAGCCTACCAAAGGGTTTACAGGAGCAATCTCTTAATCATCCTCAATATTTGGCATCTTTGCTAAAATTCCTGATTGGTCTCAATGGTGTGTTTTTATGAATACGAGTACCTGCACTGTAAGAATCTGATTTAGATGTCGAATACATCTATCACATCTCTCGTGTCTGAGTATCATGTAGCCTCACAATATGAGTGATTACATTCAGCCACAATTAACTGTTTTGAATTTAAAGAAGTGAGAAATCCAGTTAAGAACAGAAATCAGGAACCTTTTTCCAAAATATTACTAATTGCTGCAGTGACCTTCCTCCTTGTCTGCATTCACATACTTCCATTAGTAGAAAGACAACTAGGATTGTAAATTGAATTTACTTTGGCTAAGACTGGCAGTACTTGTTGGCACTATATAGCAAGCCTTTAAAATGCATTATTAAGTAAATTGATTGCAAACTCTTCAAGGGTATGAGACCCAGCTTCTCCTCCTGCCTCCTCCAAATAACAGGAGAGAGATGAAAGCTAAGACCATGGTGGTAGAACCACCTTATTCAACATTTGGCAGTCCTTGCTGTGCAGAGAAGTAGATGTTGTGAAGGTCAGTCAGCATCAAACAGAACTGCAACCACAACTCTTCAGCCAGGCTGGGGAGGATTCCCACCTCCCCTGCCCCTGCAGAGTTTGCCTGGCAGCTACACAACCCATTCACACTATGCACTGGAATAAATATTTCAGCCCTAATTCTTGCACACCATGTACAAAAAGTGAAACATATTTAGTATATTAATAGAAGGAAGAGACACTGTTTATAAATCATGGACGTATTGTGACATACAGGAGATGATAAAGCTAGTATGATCTATTACGATAGAAAAAACTCTCAGATACAAAAGAAATGCAAGGCTTGGGTGAGCATCACAACTGCTAAGAAGGGTAGCTGTTACTCATTACCTTTTGACAAGTTCACCACCTGTAAGACTGTAAAAAAATAGTTAAACCTAGGAAGACACTAAGAACACAGAAAATGATCATGTGACTACAAACTGAAAGTTGTATTTTGAAAAACTCAGACAAAACCTCCAGAATATCTGTGATAAAGTTACCTTCAGATCTGCACTACTTTCATACCCACGTTAAGAAGATACATGACAATCAGAAATACTCCTGCTTGGCAACCATCATAAAGCTCAATGCAACAGTTTTCTGTAGTACAGACATGGAGCAAACCAACAAACAAATAAACTCTATAGGACTAACAAAAAAGCCTTGTTGACTGGTGATTGTAATATACTGAGAAAATAAGCAGTGGTGAAGGAATACTTGGTTGTTAATTAGCAATTGAATGAATCAGGGCCCCAAGAAGAAGTTTTTACCTAGTTTGCTAGCTACTCTTCAGCTTGTACCACCACATCTTCAATGCTATTAGCTGGAAACATGCTCATGTTGCTGAGCAGGACGGCAAAGTGAGGCTTTGGACATCACTCCTCAGGAACTAAGTAGTTGCTATGATACACATGCTTATATTGGTACTTCCTCCTGTTACTCCTGCAAGGATACATTAAAAGTAGGATGTCTAATTTTTGCAAAAGCAAATAAATTATAATAAATACCTGGAAATTATTACAAATGCTACACTTCTAGAAAATCTACTTAAAGTACAGGATAAAATGGTAAATGCAGGATGTGCTAGTACCTGGTACTTAGTTTTTATGTTTAGTATAAAAAGCAAGATCAGAATCTCTTGTCCTATCCCACCAAACACTTGAATAAAAAAGTGGTTTGAGATATAGCTAATCAAGAGAACCATTCAAAGACTGAATGATTTTCTACAGAAAAACACGAAATGAAGTAACTGAAGGCATCAATTCAATTTACTTAAATATCATTAAACTGTTTAGTAGAAGTTGATATTCAGAACTAAAGCAGCCTTAATTTGTTTTATCTTAACGTATTTCTCAAGCACATTGTGGCCACTTCAATCCTGAATACACACATCTGTAATTTTAATCCGATTTGAGTAATTCACTTTAACAATTAACTCAGATATATTCACTTAGGTATTCATGTCTCCCTAGTAACTGAAAAAAAGGAATGTAAAACTGATAAATGCATTTTATCTGAAGAACCATTTGTTACTACTATTAGAGAAGAGAGATAAAAGAACAGTTATCTCCCAAAAACAATCAGGTGAGATCACTGTATATTGCATACATCTACATTTGCAAGAATTCAGTGATAGTTATGGGCGTGAAGTCTTTGCTGTCAAGTGCCCTGATTTTAACATGGCAATATTGTTCTGTCACCTGAGAGACAAATATTTAGGTGATCTACATATCCTGATATTATACCTATAATACCATATCTATAATATTACGAAGGGGAATTTGAGAGGAAAAAAATATGTTAAGTGATCCATACAGCACTAAGCAATAGACAGTGACATAATTAGGGACAGAATGTAGATTCACTCCTGTTTCTAACTTTTACTAAGAGGCATTGGACTTCCCATAGCAATGCATAAACTGCCTTGCAAAATCAGATTAGCCCACAGACTGCAGACTTTCATTACAAACATTCAGTCTTAGGCATGGATAAACTCTGGCTATTTAGTTAGGAGTTCACTTCTGCTGGGGGAGGAGAAATGGAGAAAGAAAGCAGCATTGTACCATTAGAGACATCACTGCAGTGTGGCCATATTTGCCCATGCTTTTAAATCTGTGGCACTAAGGGAATTAGTTTCCCTCCACTGCAAGATCAATTATTTCAGGAAGATACCCAACATGGAAAGGAACAGTGGTGGTTATTTATATCTGTAAGCGATACAGGCTACACAGCAAGGAAGATCCATCCACATGTCATCCTTAGGAACTCCAGTCACAGACCAGGATTTACAAAACCATTTCAGTACAGAAAGACTTCAAGGCTTGTATCCAAACTGCAGAGACCACTGGAAAGGGACCATTGTTAAAATGTATTTGGTTTTGCAGAAAGCTGCACATAAAAAGAACAAATCCAAGGTCTCTGAATTGGTAGCATTAAGGAGATAACAAAAAGTCAAGGTTATGGGTTTTGGATTTGATGGAAAATTAAAGGAACCAAGGCATACCAATTTTACTTAGTTCTACACAATACCAGCTAACACACTTTGTGGTGTGAACTAATTTGTTGAAAGCTGCAAATTAAATAATTTGATTTCTCATCCCATTGTACATATCACCTGGTAAGTTAGCAAAAGAGAAGAATTAGTCAGAGAGTAAGTGACCTGTCCATAGCTAATCAGTTATCCTGAAAAGTAGGAGTATTTGAGTCGTGCTTACTTGGGGCAAAGAGACTTTATTGCTGCAATTTTGTAAGGCACAATTGCTCTCCACAGGTTTGTCTTTTGTAATTCCTTCACTGGAAAAGCCATTTGTTAATAGCAGCTAAAAGTACACCTTAATGAAGAGAATATGTGACTGATAAAATACGTATAAAAACAATTAATATTCTGGAGACGTAAAAAAAAATCCCTGATCTTTTGCCCCATATGTTGACACCTGCAAGTCAGAAGCAGCTTCACACCAGAGAGCTGAAATTCAAATCAAAGCAAAGCAGTTGCTAACATCTCCACTGCTGGAATCCAATCATAACAGAAACTCACTTCTTGCACCAGAAAAAATTGTCTCTGTGAGAGGGTTTTTTTTTTATTTCAAGGCAAACATTTGAAGCGAGGTAAGAATTCACAGTCTCAACTTTCAAGGCAATTTTCAAATCAAGCTCTTACAAAGATGGGTCAGTGTTGCCTTGTCCTCTTGAGAAAAATCTCATGCATATAGTCCCAAAATCTTCCTTGATGCGACTCATTGCGATGAATCATAGCTGTGAGGGCCTCACCCTGATCAAGGCTTTGCCAATAATCCTGCAGCCACATTTCCTTCCAACTGAAACAAAAAAAGAGACATCACCACAAACCATTAAAAAAAACAAATGAGTCTGCAGCTGTAATATCACTGAAACCATTGTTTTTCTTTCACCTAAGAGAAAAACAGGCCCAGGGATGGTCATAACAAACTATGTTGTTATTGTGCTCCAAGTCAGTTATAGAAACTTGCTATGAAAATTCTCTACAGAAAATACAAGTTCACCATGAGCTTTACAACATTCTAGAAGTATCAGCATATGACTACAGTGTTAACCACAAAGAGACTAAATTGTTAATTGTAGAGAATAAAAACTTCTATTCAAATAAAATCTGTCACAGAGTCCTATTATTTTGAGAATAGCCTTCTGTGGCCCGTATGCATATAAGAGTTAGGGCTAAGAATCAATTTTTATTCAGATAAACCCTTTAACAAACTCAGGTTATATATGGAAGAGACAAAAATCATTATATTCCTCAATCCTGATCCTATTCTTTATCTCCAGACTAGATGGTCAAGTACAGGTTGTCTCTTTTTCAATGCATAGTCACAAACTTTTTGTAGCACAGACTATATCACTGCAAATTTCAGCAATTCCCTTCCCATTCATGATGATGTGGACTAATTCTCTCACTGGTGTTATATCAACAAATGTTAACTATTTATTTCTTCTCCATTATTTCTGCTATCTAGCCACATGAGCCCATCAGAAATTTTGGAAAGAAGGAACAAACACGATGCTCTTTATAATAAGTCCATGAGTTACCCAATACTTGTTAACTTATATACAGAGCTTTTTGCTGCTTCTCCCCTCAAATCACAGAAGTAAGTACAGCACCTCCTGCATTCCCTCTGTACACTATACCTTGAACCAAGTGTGACTGCAGTGCCCAGAAGCAGATCTCAGCCACCACTCCAGGCAGATGAAAGAACCACACAGCACATCGTAGTCGCTGTCCTGTGGACATGGCCTGTGTGCCACGGGAATGAGCTTTCTGGGGTCAACAACACCAGCTGTGCTGGTACATTTCTGCAGTGTGTACCAACAAAAACCTCAAAATAAAGCTTTTAACATAGACTCCAATGTGAAGGATCGTGGACAGAGGCTTATTTCTGCTTCAAAAAATCAGTATCTGCCAAGAGGGTCCTTTGTAAAATGCAGCACTTGGACGTACTATGAGATCACATTGCTAAATTCATTAACCTTTGTTCAAGGACTGCCAATATGAGTTACTTGTTTTTTACAGCACTGAATAAGGGCACATGTCTATGTGCATTAAGTACTAGACCCAAGACTAAGTGGCAGTAGGTAACAGAAAAAAAGAAAATGTTTTCCAGATGAACTGTACAGAAAAAAAAACACTAAAAAGAATTCCAGTATCTGAGTGAAGACTTTCATCAAAAATATTAAATTAGAATAGTTTAGTATTTTTCTTTTGAAATTGCTATTATTGGGAGGTTTTAAAGAAAATAATTTCACTCTGATTCTGTCAGTTGGGAAAAACTGGTACCCCAGGATGAGCAGGACTGCACAAATCTCCACAGACTCCCAACTACATACACCTGAAACATCATCACCATGAGATACAGATCTGTCTTTAATCCTGGATGATTACTGGATTCTATTGCAAGGGACTTCTCACATGCACAAATGGTAAATCTCATACTCTGTTAAACTCGTTTTTCTTGTCATAAATAAACTGTGACATTGACATAAAAAGGAAACAATAAAACCATGATGGTTTTACAACATTCTTTTATCAGTGGCACAGTGGCTTCTCTTTCCTTATGTCACCACAGATGAAAACTTTAGGTAACTGGAAAGGAATTGTCTCTTAATCTTCTTAAAGTTACCCCCTCAAACATCCCACTTTCAGAAAATTAATTCTTATCAATGAAACAAACCAAACATTTCTCTCACAAGATGGGAGTCCAAGAATAACTACAGATTCTGATTCCCACTACATAGAAGTTCCACTCACCAGTAGCACTGTAACCCACTGTTTTCTGTACAAAGAATTCAACAGACTGTAGTGACTGACTCATACCCTAACACACACAGACAGTTGTTCTACTGCCTTTCTTCGTAAGCTCACTTGGGTGTGAAGCCTGGGGGTCCAAATACAAGTGAGGCTGCAACCATAAGGATTTAGAAACCACGTCTCTACACCTACAGCTAAAAGGTGTAAGTGTGCTGCAGTTACCTATACCTGCATAGAGAGAGACTGTGATGCAACAGTTCTGTCAATTCAGCTAACCTGTCAACGCTAAAAACTAATTACATCTGGGAACAAGAGTTACAGAGCATGCAGGTGAGCAGCATTACCTTACTGTAACTGGGTACTTGCTCTAATATAAACACCTTTGTTTTTCTCAGAGTTCCAGAAGGCTCCAGAACTCCAAGTCACAGTTTGTGTTTATAGTCAGACCTTGAATGTTGCATATAGTCTACCATTTGTATCTCCACTAGGCCTGTGTCCTTTTTCCAAAATAATGTTTTCTAAAGTAACAAAACACTCAATTGACTGGCTCAGCAGGCAATCATGTAAATTGATCACACTGTCGAATAATATTACTGTCAAACTCTGACAAAATACGGGCATGTTAAACTAATGCTTTGGAGGCAATTTTATGTTACTGTCACCACTTAGAATTCTGAGTAACCATGTTCCATTTTGCAGATAAAACTAGTGAAAGCTCAGATACTTATCAGACAGAAACCACTGTATTTCACTGGAGATGCCCCTGATCATGCCTCAGAAGGTACAGATACATATATTTCTAAAGTAGACAGCAGCCAATGTAAAAGCTTCCGTGGAACAAATTTTCCAAACACATCTCATGGCTACCAACAGGGGAAGAATAACATCTTGTGGTTCAGTGAGCCATTGAAACTTCCATGGATGCAACTGAGGTTTGGATTATGGACCAGCTGTTCAAAACTCCCTGTTGATGACCCCTGGGCAGAAGGATGGAAGCACCTGAGCCTGCAAGTGGCAGCGGCAGACACGCTACGTGTGCCTTCCCACGTGCTTCTCTACTGCCACCTGATGCCCAAGCAAGAGAAAACCTATGGAAAAGTAGGGAATGCTTTTACAGAGCAGGATGCTGCAAGGAGAAAAACCGTTTTGCTACTGAGACTGAGAAAAGGCATTACTATAAAAGAGCTCCAGTAAATCAGCCAACCAACAGAAAACAAAGGGTTATGAACTCCTTTTACTTATAAGCAGAACTTTTCAGTTAGTCCATATGAAAATTAATTGTAATGTGAAAAATGCTTTTTGATTATGAACATCACATGCTTTGTGAAATAGGTGTTTCCTAAAACACCTGCATAACCTCACACTTATTTGCCTGTTTTAATTTCAGTTGGCCATTTCTGAAAGCATCCCAACACAGAATTAAGTAGTTTCCCACACTTAAAAAATTCTTCATATTTTTCTGATGAATGGGTAATGTAATAAAAAACATTTTTAGAGATTCATATCCACACAGAACTTAGTTCTGGGTTAGCATACTTGAAATTATGGATTCTAAATTTTCAACATGCTGTTTCTTCTAACAAAAGAAATCTTACACTCCTAACACTAATTTTAACATTTCTAGGCACTCAATCCCTTAATGTAGAAAACTCTTAACAATGTTGTAAAGCGATATAAACTGGAATAAAGTACACTGACAACTTTCTTCTGGAAATGCATGAGATCTTCCCAGTATTTTAAAAATTTCATTAATTGAATACTACAGTGAGACTGACATCATAACATTGAAATCTTTGGTGATGGCTATTAACCTAGACAAAACCTCCTGCTATGGCTGAAGGTTTATCTTTATGATGGCTGTCTGATGGCTTATACAGAGTGAATTGCACGCACTTGAGTAATTGTCTAAAAAGAGAAACTGGTGCAGGTAATGCAAAGAAAAGTGATAAACCCAGGGAATCCAAACATGTTGTAGGAGTAATATACACCTCACAAAGTCCACACATAGTTTAGGAACTGCAAGAACCCTTCCTCCTATCAACTGCAACTTCAAACACTGTCAATGGAAAAGGCCAAAGGTTTGGGAACACCCAAGCATTAACTTCTCTTGTACCAATGCATGTATAAATAGAGTAGATCATGCAATCAACACTCTTCTGCCGGTCAAAAGTGGTTGCCCGAGGGTTGGTGCAGTTAGTTCCCTGCTGACAGACTGGAGGGCAGCTCATACTGAGGGCTATAAGGAGATTCCAGCAACACCAGCCATCCCTGTGTGCAATCCCTGGGACAAGATACTCAGCCTGTTCTCTGCCCTGCGCGATCCCTCTCCTAAACAAACGGGATGGTCCTTCAACACCAGCCAGAGTTTTGTCACACAAAACAACACTAAGTCTTGTATTCTGGGGCAAGCCTAACGTCTGACCTGAAGTCAGCAGGAGCCAACCAGGCCTGCACTGAACAGTGGCAACCCTGTTCTCAACCCAGTACTTTGTAGTGAGGTATAGAGCTGCTTTCACCCCACGGCTGACAAGTGCTGTACCATCACTGTACTGAAAACATCCCTCCCCCAAACAAAGAGGCTAAGATAGACAGAGGATAACCACATTGCCCGAGGTCACAGAGCATTTTAACACAATATTATGGGTGTCTCACGCTCGTCTTTCAACCACCAATACCACCATCCAAGCCTCCTGTCCAGCCTCAGCGTTACACAATATTAGCAGAACTACCACAACACCTACAAGACATATTATAAAATATAACTAGAGTTGTATCAAGAGCTCCTTTAAGTATAAAGGATTATTAAAAGTTACAGCTACTATTATTTGAAGCTTCCTTCCCTTCAAAAAGGATAATACTGGTACATTACCTGTCTCCTTCAGCGAGGTCTTCCACACTTCCAAACCCAGGGGTTGGCACAGGACATCCCATGTGCTTGAACTGAGCTATTCGAGGTCTGGGAGCTGGAATTTTCCCACGAGACTTTTTGTGTTCCTGCTCCTCTTTGACCCGGATGTTCTCCCTGTCACAGATGAAACACTCGAAGCCATTCAGGTAATTGGGCAGAGTCATGTCGTTCACGCCCCACTCCCGCCTCTGCAAGCTCTCTAGCAAGAACTGGTTTTTGATTCCACCAACGTTTTTATACTCTAGATACTTCAAATATTCCTCTCCATTCTTGTCCAGGAAATCAAGATAGTTTGCCAGCTCTTGGGGGCTGTCAAAGTCATCTATAAGAATGATGGAGAGGTTGTTTGGCATCCAGTCCCGCACAGCTGGGGAGCCTCGGTACACTGGGACAGCCCCCAGGTGCATGGGACGCCACAGCTTCTCCGTCATGTAGTCCTCACATATGGCATTCTCCAAGGCCAGATGAAACTTGTACCTGGCAATAAAAGTCATAAACTCAGAATCCTCTGTTGTGGCTGTAGAAGTGTCTCTCAGTCGTTCACTGGGAAGCTCACGGTTATGCAGGCATTTCCCATAGGAGTCAACCTGAAACAACAACCAGCATCTTTACAAAGCGATCCTTTCACCCGGAACTTGTTTTCAGAGCTTGTAGTTCTTGTAAAATTGCAAAGTTGGATCAGTTCCTAGCTACCTTGGCTTAGCTTCACTTTCACTCCAAGTTCTTTCCCTTGTAACTATTCCTAGAGCCCCGCTTCTACCAGCTTTAGAGGAAACCAAGTGCTGAGTTTCAAAAGCATCTTTAACTATGCTACAGGTTGAGGGTTGGGTGCCACTCAAAAATGGATTTATTATCAGATAAATCAGAAACTGACAAGTAAGGAATAGCATTCGACCCTCTCTACGTTAATTTAAAAGTCATCCTTCTACTTAACAGAGACCCAGGACTTTTCCAAACAGTTATTACACATCATTCCTGCCAGGCTCAGCAGGCTGACAAAATTTTTCCCTTTGTTAGACTGAGAAAAATTGGTGCAGGGAGCTAAAAGAATACTGTCTAAAAATGAAAGACAATATACTTGAACAGGACCCTGCATCAAACTTTGACAATATAGTCATATTTTAAAAATTCTTTTGTCTTTGTTTCACTAGTGAATACATGATAAACTTGCACAATACCTGAATCACGGCCAATAGCAATAACAGAAACAACTAGGAAAAAGATGATTCTGGTAAAGATGAAAAACAGATGCTTTCTATCAATGTCCTATCCTTCAGAATTTTTAAGAGGAAAAAGATCCCTAAACTTTTTTCTGCTTTAAAGAAATTACATTATTTTACTTCAGGAAGCTACTCACCATCAGTTGTGCCGTAGCAGTATAAACCACCATAGAAACAACATCGTTCTACCACAACATAGATAAGGAGCCGATTCTCAAAACACAGCGACCTGCCTTTTTACTGCCTGCTTGTACTTTCAAATAGGAGCGAGGCTTGTAAATGGACAGCCTTCTTGTACTCTAACTTCAAGGTCCAGAGATTTCAGCAACTTTTACCACTTGGTCCAGCAGACTGAGCTTATTCAGGCTTTGCCCAGCTTGCGCCTGATCCCGAGTCTAGACAACTCCACAACTAACAAGCTACATGAGGCCTACCTACTGGCATGCGGTGTTGTCTAGATCACGCTTTGGGAAGGAATACAACTAGTTTTTCTGTCCAGCTTGTAGTCAGCATGCATCCCGTTACGACTCGCGTCTTGGCTAAAAACAAGGACAAACAAACCCCATTAAAAAGAGGCGGCGGAGGGGCGTAGCCAGGTGCTCCCAGCACCACGCCACAGCTTCCCCCGTGGATGTACCTGGATGTACTTCATGAGCTCCCGCACGTAGCGGTCCCTGTCCGAGGGCACATCGCAGTGGGACTGCATGTACAGCACGGGCGCGTAGCCCCTCCGCCGCCACGCGTCCTTCTCGGCCAGCGGCACGGGCCGGGCGCAGGTACCCCGCGCCGGGCAGCCACTGCAGCGTCAGCGGGTAGTCGGACTCGCGGCGGAAGGTGGCCGTGTAGTTGAAGAGCTGGATGCCGGGCGGGTGCGAGAGCACGTAGTTGTTCATGGGGGACTCCTCGTGGAAGAGCGCCCAGGTCTGGTGGGGCAGGCGGGGCAGCGGCGCCTCGTACGCCCTGAAGTCGGTGCCGTAGATGGCCGGCGGTGCCTGGCAACCCGCCGGCTGCGGGTGACGAGGCAGGACCGCGCGGGCAGTCGATTGCGCTCAGCGTGTCGCCGGGGATAGTGCGGGAAGAGGCTCCCTGCTCCACCACAGCAGGATAGGGCAAGCGCCTTGTTGCTCCGCGTGTCGTTGTTGCCAGGCGGGCCCGCGTAGGACCGGGCGGCGACGAAAGGCCGCGCCCGGCGGGACGGCGTCCTGCGCCCACCCCTCGCCGCACCACGCTGCGCGGGGCGCTCCGCCGGCGGCCACCTCTGCGGCCAGCGCGGCCCCCGCGACCGTTACCCACCCCAGGCCAGGGCGGCAGCGTCACCCACAGGCCGGCGCGGGGCCCGCACCGGCGGCCCGCGCCCCCCATGCCGTTCCCACGGGCCGGTCCGCCGCCCCAGGAAGCGGCGCGCGGCCCCGCCCGGCCGTGCCGTCACGGGCGGGGAGGGGCCGCGGGCGTGGCGGCCGGGCGGGAGCGGTGCCGCCTTCCCGCTCCCTCACCTCGGACGCTCCAGAACAGTGGCAGCTCGTAGGGGCAGCGACGCCTAACGCGGGTCTGTCAGCGTTCGTGCAGCCTGACCCATTCGCAGGTCCCTTCCAACCCTACTGTCCTGTGGCTGAAGGGGCTATAAATCCTCTCTGCCTCTACCGCTCCTGCATCCGTTTGTGCACACACCCGCTGCACAGCAAGCTTCGAGCGAAGGCAGCTGCAGAGGTGGCTCCTCGACCAAGCAGGCATTTAGGTGTTGCAGGAAAGAGCACCCTGATTAACTCCTGCTGAAGACCATAAACGGAGGGAACAGAAAACACCTTTTAGTAACAGAAAGCTTGTTGGTTTTTTTTTAATATCTACAGGTAGTTTTAAAGCTTCCTTGAAAGCTGCTTTTCTGTACCAACCTTAAATAACTCCTGTGGTATTAAATTATTCTGTAAATGGGAAATTGGTTTGGGCTACACTCTGTAAATCCAACGGAACTATGCTAGAATTACCACTCAATTGCTCAGTTACACAATTGCTAAAAGACTCAATTCCTTAAGACCTAACTAAATATAATGACAATACTTAGGAATTATCAGTTATAATACAGGACATCAGTTAGTATAGACACAAGGCAAAGAAGTCTTCTTTATCTGTGTAAGGAACAAGTTAAAGCAGAAATCTTTTTCCTTTCCTTTGAAAAGACAGGTCTGAACACTGCTTGGGCCTGCTCCAGCAGCACACCACAGGGTCCTGTGCTGAGCTCCCAGCAGTGTGACAGGCATGGGCTCTGCAAGGCAATTCCCACAAGCATCAGGAGGGGAGCTGCACGATTTACTCCATATGATTAATGTACAAGATCCACAAGGCCCATTATCACAATACCAGTTCAGTGGCAGATTCTGGATATTATGTACATTCTGTAGGAGAGTAATCTCAAAAATATTCTACAGCAAACTTAGTATTGTTGGATATTCAGCAATGATTGTCATGTGCTTTCATACAGATCGTTCTAAGGTTATCAGGAAATTGTACAATATCAATGTTCAAGGCTACAGTCAAGTTACACTGCCAGTTCACTCTGAACTTTATTTTTGCAATTAGCACCCCCCCCAAACAAAACAAACCCCCCAACCAATCTACCCAGCTTCCCTGCTTTCTTAACTCTGAAATAGGAGCTCTATTTCTCTGAAAAGTTAAGAATACAGAAGTCATTAAGCTGACATTGCACAAGGTAAGGGCAATATTTGCCAAAGTAGACAAAAAACCCCCACCCCAATCAATGACTCAAAGCTGTGTTAGCAAAAAGGGAAATCTCTTTGCAAAATGGAAGTTCAGAAGGGACAGAAAGTCAAAAACCAATCACTTAAGCAAATACTGAGACTGAACAGTATCTTTTGTCAGTTGACTCTTGTTGAATTTCTTATCATTCAGTGTGAATAACAACAACAACGAAAAAAAGAGACTGAACTTGGCCAGCAGAAGATTGGATTGTAAAGGAGCAATGAGTTAGACTTTATCCCTTCCCATTTCCCCCCTCCCGCAAAATACAGGGTTTGGAAAAATAAGCAGTGTTTATTTACTAACAATGACATAAAATACATCTTAATATATTTTTATTTCTTTACAAATTAAAAGATGCATTGGAAAAACAAGTGAAGAAAATGAAAGGTTCATTCATGATTTCATTTCCACCCCCACACCCCCCAGTATTAATACTAGAAATTAGTATTTGTGGAAGTCTGTGGTTGCTGCACCTTATATTTCTGGGAAGTTCTTTTTTTCCCTCTTATTAAAAATCCTCTAGATTTTTTGGTTGGAGGCAGTACATGGAGTAAAAAGTTGGCCACATTCATACAAAAACGCTGAAGGTTCTGTCAACTACATCTTGAAAGAGTTTCTCCATTACAATTTTCATATTCCCCTTTCTGTGTAGTGATGGGAGGGAAGACAAACTAGCAGCATTAGAAGAAAAATGGATTTATATACACGCTACAGGATATGGAACTAAAACCACAGCCAGATATTTTTTCTGATCTTAACAAGGACTTTCCTATGAAATATCAAGCCCAGATCACATGTTCTCTAATCCATCCACATTCTTCCTTCCACTTTTAGTGCTACTGGTAGCTTAAACTCCTGGGTATTGGAAGAACACTTGTTAAGTGTTCAAGCTAAAATATACAAGCCCCCTTTCAAAAGTGAATAAACGAAGCCCTTAGAATTCTGAATTCGATTACACTAGCTCCCTCTTCACAGGAGTCTTCTCATCCACCCTCGCAAAATGGAGCAGCAGAGCAGCCAAAGTGGATGGATTAATCTGTCTGAGGTATTTTAGTTTAACAAACAGGCTTATAAAAAGGTTTTGTGCAAGCTGATCAGTAGGTAGAACAGGGGAGGGTATAAACATCCAGTAATGAGACTCTTTGCTATGGCCCAGATGCTTTCAATAACCAAAATCAGGTACTTATGATACCTACTACAGTACAGTCTAACTCTTAAGTTTTTGTATCTCCTTCCTTGTATTCCAGGGTACAAAGCAATCTCAAAAATCCGCATCAGTATAAATCAAACTCCTGCTTGTTTGCTATGATTCACAATAATATGGTTGAAAATGGCCACTTCCTTATCATCCAGTTCCTACACAGCCCCCCATCACCTTGTTAAACATAGTTTCTGCTTAAGGTTAAGAGGATTTTGTTCCCACCACCATCTGATAGACAGGTAAGCTCTGCAGGAGAGGCCATGGAACATGGATTGAGTAGGACAATACAGAGCCATGCAATGAGAAGGAAAGGAGTCACCACACGCCAACAGGAAGTACCATCTCTACCCCTACACTGTTTAGAAGCTGTTGATTTTTGCCCACTGAACTATTAATTACTCCATTACAGATCTGCACAGCAACTTATAGTACAGGGAAGATTGTGGAGAGAAATTTGTCCTGCTGCCTCCTCACTTAGCTCTCATTTCATTTTTCATGGCTTTCTGGTTCAGACAGCCGCATGATACATCTCTGCTCTGACACATCGTGCTTCCCTCTTAAGAGAAGACATAAAATGTTTGGCTGCTCCAGCTCCCGTTACCTGACCTACCTCTCGTCCTCCCCACCTGTGCATCACCTTCACACTTGGAGCATGCACACACACCCACATGAACACACAGCAGCTACCAGAAATTTTGAAGAGTTATCGCTTTTTCACCCAATGTTGAATCATGTACAGTGAACTGAAAAAAACCTACATTCATTACGACAGGATTAGCGAGCATGGGGTGGGGGGTGAACTCCTGCCAAGCACAGGAAACAATTTAGATGCAAATAAAAGACCTGGTATCAAAGGCCTTTTTTTTTTTTTTTTTTTCAGCCCTCACCAGGAAAATATTTCATCTCTCATACAGGATTGGGAAAGGTTGAAAGGATTTCTGCTTATGCAACATGTATTAAAAATTATGGAATTGTACAGATTTCTATGTTGTCCTTTTTGAGGGCGCTGGGCCTTCTGATCAGGTCATTAGTGGAGACTGAAATGTCACTGCTGAGTTCCAGCACCACTCACTCCTCTAGCTCAGTAGCTGCCGAATCTCCTTGTGCATGTGACACAGGAAGTCCACATATGAAGCCCCCCCACTCAGGCTCTTGTCCTCCACTAGAAAGTGTTTGAACAGCATTTCCAGCTTATCTTCTTGCTTCACAATTATCAACTACAAAACAAACAAACAAACAAAACAAAACAAGAACAAAACCAACAGTGAGTAGGTAGTAGAATTATTCTTGGGGAAAAAAGAGCAAAAAGCCAATGGCTCAAAAACCCAAAGACAGATAACCAGAATCCTGGCTTATGTGCTTTGACTTCTGTAAATCAACTGGGTTAAGTCTCAATCCTTTCTAAACAGAAGAAAAATACCACATATGTGGTTTGTACAGTAGTATATTGTAATAGGTCTGAAAAAAATAGTTTTAGAACTATGATAAACAGAAAACTAGTGAAATTTTTTTTTCAGATCCTTGAAAACTTTGATTCACGTTTATGAGATTGGGAAGAATAAGTTCAGAACTGCAGCATTACCAGGTATCACCTGCTCTACAATAAGGGAAGGGGATTTAAAGCTGTGAATGGGGGACAGCATTTTTACCTTCATGTAGCGGGATCTCTGCCCTTGAAGCATGTCAACAATAGATCGTACTTTCTTTGAAAAGGGGTTTTCCAAGACAGGCAGGGCACTCTGGAATGAAAGATATCCAATCCCCATTAGTCATGTGAAGTAGAGCAACGTTAAATAAAACTGAGCAGTTTTGTCATATTATATAAGGGTATGGACATATCTACCCCCATTAACATACAATCTCTTTGACCTCAACTACTTAAAAGAGAATATAACATGATATCAGAATTAAAGGTCATTTATTTGTTCCATTTAGGTATCAACTGTTCTCTTCATTGTTAGTGATGTGGCTTGCCAAGTAAACCTAGGCAAAAGCATGCCCAACATGCCCAGACTAGGGACATTTCCACTAGTTTCACATATCTGTGCTTCTCTTGTTCCCAGTATGAAAAATGTAACACTATTTTCTCGACTGGCTTTCTCATTGTTTTAAGTTCTGGGTGACTATCACAGACAGTAGCTCCCACACTGCCATCCAGCTCACCAAGGTGTTGCTAATCTGACCGAAGGATGACACTCCAAAGAGGTTCTGGATCAGGCCTTGCTGCACGCTGACTCCCACCCACACAAAGATGTTCAGCCCATTCTCCAGCAGGTATATATCACCCTTGGAGAGACGCTCCTCCGAGTTCCGAATGGCTGCTGGCAAGGAATCACTGTCAACATCTGCTTTGGTCTGGTTTAGAGCGAAATAAAAATTAAAATCAGTAAAATAAAATCAAGGTTAT